CCTCCCGAATTCATGGTGGAAATGGGCTGCACAGCGGCTCCTTTGGTTCCCCTGTATGCCCCGCACCACTGATTGGCAGAGGGGCCACACTGCTTGCCGCTCGCTCCTAATCAGCGGCAAGGCAAAAGCCATAGTTTTAAATATGTTGCCATTTTTGCCACTTGCCGCTGATTGGCCGAGGGGCCCTGGCAGCCCCGCTGTCTATTGCTGACCAGACGGGAGGCAAAAACAGCACCGTATTTAAAACCACTGTTTTTACCTCCCCACTGTTCTGTGCCTGAACAGTGTATGTGGGATGTGGCACTGCATGCAAGCAGATGTGTGCTGGTGTGGTCTGTCCGATGGCCATCGAAGGTTTGAACAAGGAACGCCTGCAGCCGGGACTCCAAGGAGGGAGTCGGAGAGCATGAGCACAGATCGAATGCAGAGTGAACGAGGGCTCAGAGCAGCCAATATCTCATCCGTGGGTCTGTGTCTGTGCCTGAACAGTGAGTGGATGCAAGGTGAGGGTCTGGGGAGGTAACGCTCTGCAGTGACTGTGCAAGGCTGTTAGAGGTGCGGCTGCAGCAAGTACCAACAGCAGGTCAGAGCTTGATATTGATGTCTAGCACCCTCTCTTGGGTGAGTACTGGTTATGGATTGCTATTCTTGCACATATACTGCGTTGTTGCAATTGATATTCAACTGCTGTTGAATTGTTGTCATTTGTTGAACATAGTTATTGTTATCATCCCTCCATGGGGGTTGGACTAGATGACCTGGGGGTTGGACTAGCTAGATGACCTCCTGAGGTCCCTTCCAACCCTTTCTACGATCTTGTGTAGTTTCTTTATTCTTAATTAAGTATTTCCGGTCAGGTTACAGCCAGGCTGCAGGCTAACAACGTGATGAAAGTTGGGGCTCTACCCCTGTTCATTTACTGGGCAGTTTTGCTAAACTGCCTCAATTAATCAGTTAATTAGCACCCTGCCTCAACACTACTAGTCCTGGTACAAAATTCTACCTTGCAAAAACCTAGGACTAGGAAGGTTTTAGACAAAAGAAGGAATCTCCCATGCCTTAGCCCAAATGGCTGTGACATAGGGAACTTGTATAAGAAAGAGAAGATGCAGCTTCTAGGCTCCCCCATCACCCCCAGGACTTTGAACAAGTCTCTCCTACCTAATCCAGAGGTGATTTGACCCTAAATCTCTCTAACTTCTCACCTAGGTCCGCAAAGGTATCTGATCCAATAGGCATGCTCTGAGCATGGAAAGCATGCCTACCACACAGAAGCTACAGTTGTTTCACACAAGAACTTAAACAGAGAAGGAGCTGCTGCCATGCACTTTCTACATAATAGCCAAGAGGGTAGTGCCCTTGCCCAGGAAGCAAAAGGCTGTTCTACGTCCTCTTCCACCCGAGGGAACTTGTCCATAACTGGCTAAGCCCATTCTCTGCACTTTCCACTGAAGCTGGAAACACTGTTCAGCCAAGAATCCAAGGCCGCTTGTACACGTGACAGGGATTTAGACCCCTAAGTTGAAATGGTAGGTTTTTAATTTTGACTATTAAAAACCCACCGTTTCAGTTTGGTGGCTTTTGTCACTGTTACAGTGAAGTGCCCAATTCTTTTTTTTGTTTTGCAGAGCCTGCCCGCATTTCCCATGGCTGGGGAATAAGCTGCTGGCGGGCTGTCTCTCCCAGTTCGTGATCACACCAACACAGCCAAGTTATCACCTCCAGTCACCATGCACACATTACCTAGGTGGAAGAAAAGGCAGGGGTAACAATATTTAGCAGCCTATGTACACCCATATCAAAAAGAACCCCAAATCACAAAGCATGCATCTCATCTGGCTCATGAACGGGCCTCTGCTGGAGATGCGATGCCCTGAACAGACCACAACAGGTGGTCTTCTGTAGGTGCAGGCCAGAGGTTATAACCCCACTCCACTCCCCATCATGCTGTGGCCCAGAAGTCTCTGCCCCTCAAAGCAGCCAGCTGCCTGCACTCACCCGCAATTCAGATTCCTGACCTGTCCCCAGTGCGGGAAGCTCAGAAGCTGTGGAACAGGCTCTGCAGTGGAGAGGACAGGCAGTACAGTGCAGCTCCCTGCCACCAATCCTTTGTGCAAGGTCGTACCGTTGTGGCCTGCAGGCTGCTGACCGTTGGACTAGAGGGCTGCTGCAGTGCAATAATGGATGTGGTGTGGGTTAACCATCCCACCTCCAAGCTATGCAATGGTAAAGCAGAAATCCTCCCAAGTCAGAGCAAAACAAGAAAACATGAACCCATAAAGCAGACTATCCATTCAGTTGTATCAGCACCAGAAAGAGACTTCCTACTGCTGGGTGGATTGTCCAGCAACTGTGCACCTCAGATCACTGCAGTTCCAAGCACAGATGCTGTAGCTGCTTTTCAGTGTTTCCCCAAGTATGTAGCATTTGAGAGGCTGCTGCTTTCTCGCAATGACTATGATACACCTACACAGTATCTCACTCCGTCAGTCACTTCACTCCCCACCTTTATTCCTACTGTCTATACCAGGGTTGTCCAACTGCCAAGGACCTAGCGCCTGCACAATCACCGGACACACCAGCAGGGACTGTACTGGTGACAGCTGTGCTAGGGTGGGGCACAGCCCTGCTGGGCTGCCACCCTACAGAGGCTCTCCCCCTTGTCCCTGCAACAGCATTGCATACCCAACGCTCAATGTATCCGGTAATTCCAATCTATAACTGCTGATTCAATGACATGTCTAATAGATGCATCTACTAGTTCCCCACTGCAGAAAGTAAAAATCTTATGATTAATTGTTTTCATTCAAACTGTGTCAAATAACCACATTGATTTTACCCACCATAATTTAACTTATACTTTTAGTGTAGTAGCTGTATCCTAAAGAAAGATTCTAATTTAAGGTATCTAAAATAAACTGTGTCAAATAACCACATTGATTTTACCCACCATAATTTAACTTATACTTTTAGTGTAGTAGCTGTATCCTAAAGAAAGATTCTAATTTAAGGTATCTAAAATATCTGTATAACACATAAAATTATCTAATGCAGTTGTGGTCAGTGGATGAAAATTCAAAGGGAGGGTGCTTAGTTATCATCTATTAGCAAATCAAGAGGAACGTCTTACTCATTAAGGCACAAGTGAATGCCCTGAAATATAAGCTTCACTCACATTTAGCAGCTGATCTTATACATCCCTGGAAAAGGGCCAATGTGGTCCCCATTTTCAAGAAGGGGAGAAAGGAGGACCCGGGCAACTATAGGCCAGTCAGTCTCACCTCCATCCTTGGCAAAGTCTTTGAAAAAATTATCAAGGCTCACATTTGCGAGAGCCCGGCAGGACAAATTATGCTGAGGGGAAACCAGCACGGGTTCGTGGCAGGCAGATCGTGCCTGACCAATCTAGTCAGGTTACAAAACACCTGGACGCAGGAGTAGGGGTTGACGTCGTTTACTTAGACTTCAGGAAGACCTTCGATACGGTATCCCACCCCATACTGGTGAACAAGTTAAGAAGCTGTGACTTGGATGACTACACAGTCCGGTGGGTGGGAAAGGATTTTGTGGGGTTGGTGCTTGCAGGAGGAGAGGCCCAAACTGGAGCAGGATACTCAGCAAAAGAGAAAAAGGGAAAAATACAAGCTCCTCTCCCATGCCAGCCACACCCTTTCAAATCTAAGCTTTGCTCAGATCTTCAGTCTTCAGTGGTGTCCCCGTGTCCCTCCCCAACCCACTTGAGGGGGTCATGCCTGCCCGTCTGCAGGGAGGGAACGGCAGCTGCAGGCCTAACTGCCCCAGCCAAAGCTTTGGGGCTTGAGCTGCAGCGCCCCACTAAGACTGGGACTTCCTCCAACCCCCGATGCAGCAAAGTGCAGATTAGGAGAGAGCAAAACTGAGAGAGGATCAGCCTAGCCCCGCTCTGCTCCTTCCAGCTCTCCAGGCCTCCAACCCCCGATGCAGCGAAGTGCAGATTAGGAGAGAGCAAACTGAGAGAGGATCAGCCTAGCCCCGCTCTGCTCCTTCCAGCTCTCCAGGATACTTGGACATAGCTGAGACGCTGGGCAACATTCCCTCTCTCCCAGCAGACCCTGTCCTCCAGGAGCAGGGGCTTGATAATATGTCAGCCTAAGAAAGACTGTACTTTGCAAAATACACCATACCCCCTTTGCAAAAGAAGAAATAAGTGCTGCTGGAAATCCCACTGTCCATTACATGCAAGACATAGGGTGAGAACAGTATCTGTATGTGAACCTTTCAAAATAGAAAGACCAATGAAAACACAAACACAGAATATTATTGCAAGAGCTTTATCTGCTGCATTGGGACAGCAGCAAGAGGTACCGCTGGCCTATGCCAGGCAACCCTCAGGGCATTCTCCTACAATTCAAGGAACAGAGAAAGGGTTTACAAGAGACTTACTCTGACAGCTTGCTTGTTGGCCCTGGGAAACAGGGCAGCTCTAGATCCAATGGGAAGTCAGGCAATGGGCTGGATCAGGCATCCTGCTCTGCCTATGTGCTCTGCACATGGAGTCTGTAGTGCTACAGCATCCTCACCCCTCTGTAGTTCTCTCCGCGGATGCCACTGCAAACACCTGGCCTCACTGCAATTGTCCTGGGCTTGACCTAGTGTCAGAAAGGGGACAGGAAAAATCAATGGAAGAGACTTCTACTGCAGGGGGGAGAGGGTTTGGGATAGGCTCATGCCGGACGCAGGTACGTCCCACCCCACCGGGTCCCGTCACACCATGCCACGACCTTATTGTTTCCACTGGGAGAACCTGCACTTGCCTGGAGGTGGTGATCAGTGGGTCCCTGAGGGTCCAGGTGTGACTGCATTGACATGACTTCTTTGGAGCTCCTCCTGCCCTACAGCCCAGCCTTTTCTACTCGGGTCTTATACGATGAGGTTGTCTTTTCTCCTATGCTAGCTGCCTGATAAAATTGAGACTGCAATGATTATGCTGTGATTCTGCTTCTGCCTTTTATGTCCCAGATCAGAACTAAACAGGGCCCACATAGCCAATTGGCAAGTCTCCACCGTTCGGCATGGCACCAGTTCCTTCAATGTAGCTGGGCCGCTGGAGCCGCAGTGCCAAGGTGAGTCGTGTGGGGGTCTGTTACGAGGTGACATGAGAGTGAGGGGGACAATCTCAACATTAGGACTAACTAGGACCCTGTGTTGGATCACGCAGGCCCAACACAAGGAGACAAAAGAAGAGGCAGCAAAAACCTAGAAGCAATGAGAAAGCACTTACATGCTCAGAGAGCCAGAGGCACCAACGCTGTCATCCCGTGGACCCATCCCGGATCAGCGATGGGAGGATGGAGAGAGGGGAGGACAGGGGTGGACGGGGAGGGGAGGAGTAGCAGCCTTCAACGCCTGAGGGCGAAGCAGCAGGACAATATCCACACAAGGTTGAACCTGTGGGAGAAGGGGCACAGTCAGGGCAGGGTCAGGGTGGCGTCCAGGCCAGGTAAGAAGAAACTAGTGCAAGTGGGACAGGGTGGATCTCAGGCCTCTGCTCACCCCCAGGGAGCAACCACGGGGTAAAGGAGAGTCTCCCCAGCAGGGAGCAGCACGTGGCTCTCACACGTGGCTGAGTGGGGCTTCCTGTCCCCAGCCGGCCTCACACCTGGGCCAGAAGCTCGGAGCCCCAAGCCCCGGGGTGAAGGCCTGGCAGCGGGGTCCTCAGGCCCAGAGGTGGACGATGGGGTCCACCCCAGGAGATAACCGGTCCAGACAGGGCACCAGGGCCCTGGCAGAAAGCCAGGACAGGTCATCCTGACCAGCCTGGAGGCAGGAGGCACCTGATCATCATGTGGGCTGGGGGGACGGCCCCTCAGGCCTGGGACCCACCGAGGTGTGGCAGGACACTCACCTCCGTGCTGCTCGCCCTCTTCTCCTCCTCCCCTCTGCCGCAGTGTCAGCACTGGGGGTGGGAGGCAGAGACATCGGTCACCTCGCACACACCCCAAGCCCATGCCCAGGCCTCCGCTCTCTCTATCCCTGCCTCCGTACCAAGGACTGGCCCTGGGTGCCCTCCCCCAGCCATCTCCCTTCCTGCCTCTGTGCTGACCCCACCTAGACTTGGCTCCTGGCCGCGATCTCGATGTACACAACAGGGACGGCTCCCAGCACACAGCGCCCAGGCCTGCAGCGCCCCTGCCCTGGCCCTGCCCACCTACACACCCAGGGCGCTGGAGGGAGTTTGCAGGCAAGGCACTTTCTAAAGA